GAGCAGAGGGGAGTGTTTCCAAGTAAAAGAACAAATAACAACAGAGAGACAACATTGGTGTCCTAGTTTGTTTCTTCATTACTGTGACAAAACACTCTGGCCACTACCAACTTGGGGAGGAAGGGGTTTATTTATCTTACATCTCCCAGGTTATAGTACATCAGAGAGCCAAGGTAGGAACTCAGGGCAGGAACCTGGAGGCAGGAGCTGGAACACAGGCCATGGAGGAACACTGCTTACTGGCTTGTTCTCCTGGCCCCTGCTCAGCCTCCTTTCTTATACAACACAGGCCCACCTGCTTAGGGGTGGTACCACCCACAGTGGGCTGGGCCCTCGCACATCACTCATCAAGAAGATGCCCCACAGACATGGCCACAGGCCAGTCCAATAGAGGCAATTTCCCAATTGAGGCTCCCTCAACCCAGGTGTGTCAAGTTGACACTAAAGCTATCCAGCACAAACGGCAAGATGGGGGTTTCTAAACATCCAGCAAAACCAACTGGAGAAGTTGAGGCTGTCAGAGTTCCCAGATGAGCATTCCCCAGCTTCCCATCACTAAGCTTCTGTTGGCTAAACTTCTAGCTTCTCCTTCCCACCTCAGGCACTTTTACATCGTGGGATAAACAACAGTAATATCTGCATAAAATAGTTTGTCTTCTAATTCTTTTCAAGGACATGTTTTGACTCTTGGACTGTTTTACTGTTCTTTCTACTCTGTCACAGAGTTGTGAGGGCAGATCCTCTCCAGACAAGAGTTCTTAGAGGTCACTTGACATAAACATACTGAAGTATGTTTGAGGGACAACCCTACTTCCAGAGCCAGCTTCTCAGTGAGTTCAAAAAGCACATGACAATTTACCCACATATATTATAGATCTTCTCTCCTATGTTAATGTCAGATCTGCTTGAATACTGATCTGTGGGTCTTTTCTGTTACTATAACTGTGCAAAAAGATTTCTACTATCAGTTATAATAAATACATAAACTTCCCAATTCATCCTGACTTCTAAAATGTTCTGTGGGCTTTGCTAAAATGAACAGAGTGCTCCATTAGTCTTCCTTTTCTTTCTGGAGAGTCCTGAATAGTAATGTTAATTTTTTTCAGTTCCTGGGGATGGAACCCAGAACTCTGTACATGTTAGACAAGTATTTTATCATTCATTCCACCCCCAGCCCGTAACATTAATTTGACAAGAAGCAAGAAGAGGAACCAGAGATGCAGCTCCATAGGAGAGCACTTGAATAACATGTACCAGAGCCTGGTTTCAACACAGGGACACCACGACTGAAGAAGGAGGAGGAAGAGGAGAAGCAACAGTGACATCAGTGGTAGCAACAGTGGCCACAGCAAGTGAGGAGAGATAATAATGGAGAGTCTTAGAATTTCAGAATGTTAGTGAATTCCCTATTATGAACTGAGTTGTGTCCCCTCCTATTACAATTTGCATATGAAGAATCCTCCCAAAAGGCTTTAAGGTTTATGTGCTTGTTGAATAATTCATTCCTAGCTGTTGATACTACTGAAGACACTAATTTCATCAACAGATTTGTTGGGGACCCCTGCTGTTTGGGTCGCAGTCTCTCCGAGTCCGGATAGCCTAAGGGGCTCAGCATTTGATGCAGAGACTCCTCTTTCCAGCAGGGCGCCTCCTGCTCTCCTCCTGACTCACTTTGAAGTGGCCACCACAGATGCCCTACCAGAAACATGACCTCTGGCAAAGAAACTGCCAGGTTTTTCCTATGACTCACCTTTGAAGTGGCCGCCACAGAAACATGACCTCTGGCATAGAAACTGCCAGGTTTTTCCTATATGATAATCAGGCATTGTCTGACAGCCTGATAGAGGCCCACCGCCACATGTAAATGGGGCATTCTATGAGCACCTATCAGCTGAGGCTTTTTGCTACTGCCACCACACTATAAATTCTCTAGTTTCCCTCTAATAAATCGAAGCTGTATCACTGAACTTGTCTGGAGCTGTATCCTGTGTTTCACTGCGCCTGGGACCAGCCTGTGATTCAGTCTTCCCGGAGGGAGCTTTCCTTCCGTCAACATTCACTGGCGACGCTTCTGTGCTTCCCGCTTTGCTCTCCCTGCCCCCCGTGGACCAGTGGCCAACGGACCTGACCGTGTGCACAGAGGGAGCGTCCCACAGCTGGCACAGAGTCTGCACTCCCCACAGCCGCTGCAGACCCGCCTGGCAGCTTGTAGCCCTCTGCAGAGCCACCAGCGCCAGGCATGGACCAGCCGATCTGCAGAGCCCCGCCTGCGCTTCCCGAGCAGCTGCGGAGAGCCAGAGACCCTCCCGCAGGCAACAACACAGATTAACCCACTGATGAGTTTGTAACTGTGTGGGCTATTGGGAGGGGCCTCATTGGAGGGAGTAGGTCACTATACTCTCTGTCTCTCTCTCTCTCTAACCGATCATAAGGTGAGTAGCTTTGCTTCATCACACACGCACACCCTTCATCCTGTTCTACCCCAACACAAGCTCACAGCAATTTACCTAAGCAGTTGTTTCTCTGAGTGGTAATCAAAATTAAGCCCTCATAACTGCAGGTATATCTCAGTGGTTAAGTGCACTTGCTACTCTTGCAGAAGACTCAGGTTCAATTCCCAGTATCCACATGATGGCTCACAACCTGCTGTCTGTAACTCCATTTTTAAGGGATCCAAGCCCCTCTTCTAGCATCCACAGGCACCAGGCACACACATGGTACACATGCATACATGCAGACACACATACTCATGAAATAAAACTAAATCTTTTTAACAATTGAGCTTTGAAGAGTAGGCTGTTTCTAAAGAAGATTCTCAAATAAAAATGGAAGAAATATCAACCCAATAGGTGAGCACAATGTAACACAGAAACATAAGAAACATGAAAAGCAAGACATAGGCCTCTTTAAAAAGATTAAACCCACTGATACATCACGCATGACCACAAAACAGAAAATGGACTCTGGAGGCAGAGGCAGGCAGATCTCTGTGAGTTCAAGGCCAGCCTGGTCTACATAGTGAGTTCCAGGACAGGTGGGGCTACAGGGAGACCCTGTCTCAAAAAGACCAAAAACAAAAAACAAAAAACAAACAAAATGACAAAATGAGGACTATTAAAGAAAGGCTATTATATATATTCTAGATATTATACATAAGAATTCATTTTTCATATTTTTTAAGGGAGGAAAAGTTTATTCTGGCCATATAATCACTTGTTAATTTATGAACCTTAAAACCCTTGGTGGAGAATCTGGTGGCCATAAATAATCTCTTTTATGTAAGATATATGTTTTCTTTTTAGCTGTTTTTATATTGTGGTTACTATTTTGCGACACAGGCTCACTATGCAGCCTTGGTAATCTCGGTACAGCCCAAGTTAGTTTTGAACTGGCAGCCAGTGCTTTAGTATATGGTGAGTGTGAGTGTGCAGTTTCCAGGCATGAGCCACTACAAGGGGCTATTTTCCTTTTAGACACTGACCATTTTATGGCCACCAGTAAAAGCAATATTCTATGAAATACCTGTTGGTGATGATTTTTAAAATTTGGTTGAATACTATTATTACTCCTATAATTTGGATTCTTTTTTCAATATATATTTTATTGAATTTTAAAAAATATTATTTTTATTTTATGTGTGTGCGTGTATTGCCTGCATGTAGGTAAGTGCACCCATGTAGTTCAAAGCCCGCAGAGGATAGAAGAGGCTGCCGGATCCCCTGGAACTGGAGTTACAGACAGTTGTTAGCTGCCATGTGGGTGCTGGGATTCTGCAAGAACAGCCAGTGTTCTTAACTGCTGAGCCATCTCATTTCAAACAACACATCTTACTCATATTTAGGGCCTCTCATCTATCTGTACCACCCCATAGTCCTCCCACCAGACTTCATGCGTTTCTGTTATGTGTGTTAAGGCCTACGGAATCAAGTTTGTGCACCCAGATGTCCCTGGCTGTGAATTCATCTAGTGGGGCGGGTTCAGCGGTCTAGCTTGGCTCCATTACCCAGCTGTGATCAGCAGCCAGTATAATGGTGATTTCTTGATGTCTACACGTAGAGGACTGAAAATATGCATTTGAAAATAATCTTTAAATTTGGACACTTTTCATAGCATATTATATCAAAATAAGTTAATGTTCCTGGTGATAAGAAAACTTGAAATAAAAGATCTGAGATCACATGATGATATGAAATAAAGTAACACAATTATGCACATGTTAGAAAAATGTGTATGACTTAAAGAAGTGTAAGAAGATATATGTAGAGAAGGGTCAGTCAGAAAAGAGATTTAAGACAGGAAAGTATTAAAAGTTTTCAGTTATTAATCTTTTTTTTTTTTTTTTGGTCTTTTTTGAGACAGGGTCTCCCTGTAGCCCTAGCTGTCCTGGAACTCACTATGTAGACCAGGCTGGCCTTGAACTCACAGAGATCCGCCTGCCTCTGCCTCCCAAGTGCTGGGATTAAAGCAGTTATTAATCTTTTAACATTTATTTGTATGTGTGTGGGTGCTAAGGTGTTGTAACAGATAAATGTTTCCTAAGTTTTAAACGAATTGCGGTACAAGTTTAGAAGGTAAATCTTTAGTTATATTATCGGTCAGATACTCAGGAAATAAGGATTTGTTTATAATAAGCTTCTGTTTTTATTCTTATCTGACTGGATGCTTCAGATTCACTGACATTTGCTAATTTACTAAGGTCTGCTAATTTTCGAAGCCTTCTCAGAAGAATGATTTCACTGTTTAGATCACCGGGTGGCGCCATCTTCCGGGCTCCTGAGAAGACTCCAGAATTAAAACTGTACCCTCCGTCTGGTTTCGCTACGGGGTTTTCCCGACTTTTTGAAGCTCCTTGGACGCATGCGTGCAGCCTTGGAGAAACTATAATTCCCAGAAACCCTTGCGATCAAATTTTCCCTCGGTCAGGGCTGGGGGATGGGGAGGACTCTCGCGAGAAAATGGGGTTGTGGTGGCTGCGCGCGGTGGTGGGCGGGGAGGGGAGGCGGAAGAGGAGGAGGTGCAGTCCCACAATACCCGGCGGGGGCACGGCGGCTGCTGGTGGGGCCGTGAGCTCAGTCGTCGCGATCTCTGGTGTGTTCACTTCCGCGCGGGGAAGCGATGCGGAGCGGTGGAAAATGGCAGAGCTGCAGATGCTTCTAGAGGAGGAGATCCCGTCCGGCAAGAGGGCGCTGATAGAGAGCTACCAGAACCTGACCCGGGTGGCGGACTACTGTGAAAACAACTACACACAGGTGAGGACAGCGGGGCGGTTTTTTTGCGGCCGCCGGGGCGGGGTGGGAGCAGCCGGGCTCCGCAGCCCTCCGTCCGGCCAGTCGCGGCGTGTTCTCGGCCTGCCATACAGGAAGTGGCTGAGGTGGCCGCGACCAGCAGCCGGGGAAAATGGGCGAGGAGCTCGAGCCGGGGCGCTGTCTGCCCCTGACGCCGCGCCCTGGTCCTGGGCCGGGCCCCGCTCCAAGCCCGAATGGCCCGCAGCCTCGGGTGGCCAGGGTGGTCTAGACCCTTCAGCCTCATGTAGCCGGGGTGGTCTAGATCCCGCAGCCTCCCCTGGCCCGGATCGGTCCGGAGACCCCGTAGCCTCCGATGGCCGGGGTGGTCCAGTCCCTGCAGCCTCCAGTGGCCGGGGTGGTCCACTCCCCGCAGCCTCCTGTGTGGCCCGGGTGGTCCCGAAGCCCCGCAGCCTCCGATGGCCGGGGTGGTCCTGATGCCCCGCAGCTTCGCGTCGCCGCCCTAGGTCTCCGGGACTTTCCTGTCTCCGATGATGAGTCTCAGACCCGGACAGCTGAGAGAGGAAAGGGCTGGCGCGGGGAGAAGCCGGGGAAGGGAGAGGAAAAGCGGGGTGTGTGTTCGCCGAGGGCGGGGTGGGTGGGGTGGTTATGTCAGTTCATCCTAGAGGGTGTGCCTTACTTATTTGTAAATTGTCACGAGTCACATTTGCACTGGCCTCCGGAGCGGGTTGGGGGAGTGCGTACAGGGCCTTTGATTGAGTTCTTAAAATTCTACCTGAAGGTTTGGAAATCCCAGAGCTTGTCAGTTTTCGGGTCGGGTTTCCCTCCTCCTTTTCCTCCTTGTATTCACTTCCTCCTTATGCTTCTGTGTTCTCGTCAGTATTAAAGCATGGATGATTTCTAACATATCGGAAACATGCCTTAAGTAGTTGCTTCCTGCAAAAGTTCTTGAACTGTTGCCTTTGAACTTAAAAGAGAACCGTGTCATCGCCAGTTGCTTATATTCTGAGATTTCTGACTTTCGAACCTAAGTTAAATCATAGAACATGAATCGAAATAGAAACATTTGCTTAGCCTTCGAACCTCAATGTAAAATACTACTTTTTAAAATCAGAAAATCTTGACATCTTGACCGTGACAGTTGCTTGCTTGTTTTTATTAGTGATTTGAAGTGAATTATTTGTCATAGTTTGGCCTCTAGTTCTATAATATAGTAACTTAACAATTTGCATTAGATGCAAATAGAGTTCTTGGTGTCATCATGACACTACAAATTCGCTTGCTTTTGGTAAGCAAGACCAAAACATGCTTTGAAAGGTTGCGGTTATTGCTACTAAGAACTAAAGTATAAAAGTACATCCCATGTGATTATCATTTACGATCCAGTAGTTTATGTCGGCAGATGCTTGCAGTCTTTATTTTCAGAGGGAGATACTGCTTTGAGAATTTTTTGAATACTTGTCAGTTTCCATATTAGTAACATTATATCTTCAGTAGTACTATTAGGAATTTGCCTTCATATTTTTCTCCCAACCTTTGACTTTGGGAATTCTGATAAACTTGTTGAATGTCTTCCATATTACTTGTTTTTGCAAATTTTATATAGTCATTTAAAAACAAATTTTAAACGCTTACAGTAAGATTGTGGATATAGTGTGCAAGTACAAAAGTAATCTTTTATAGATATCAAAAATGTACGACTTGTATTCATGTTCACATGAAAAGTCTTGAATTTGAGTTTTAAAGTTTTTGAAAGGAAGAGCACAGGAAATTAGTCCCAATTTTAGAGAAGTTACCTCTTCTTTGTAGAAGTTAGTAGATAAGTACTTCGTAAAGGAGAGGCTTAGCCGGGCATGGTGGCTCACACGTTTAGTCCCAGCACTAGGGAGGCAGAGGCAGGCAGATCTCTGTGAGTTCAAGGTCAGCCTGGTCTACATAGCAAGTTCCAGGCCAGCTTGGGCTACAGGGAGACCCTGTCTCAAAAAGGAGAGGCTTATTTTATGCAGGTTGGGAAATCTGACAAATACTGGTATGATAACATCTACATGTTGGCAGTGTTAATAACCGTAACATGTTCTAACCTGTTTGCTGACTGTTTCACCGGACCCACCCTCACCCTTTCCTTTTCTTCTGCTGCTCTCCTATAACTTTGAAGTGTGTTACAATTTGATTGAGGGCTGAGGTTAATACCTTGTTTGGTAGAGTGCTTGCCAGGGATCCGTGAGACCTTTTCTCCAAACAAAAACGAACAAACCAACAGCAGAAAAACCCACATTGGGGCTGGAGACATGGCTCTGTGGTTAAAAGTGCAGAATGCTCCTACAGAGGACCTGAATTCAGTTCCCAGCAGCCATGGGGGGGTGGCCCACAAGGGTCTGAAACTCCAGCTACAGGGCATCTGATAGCCTTTCTGGACTCTGTAGGTACCTGCACTCATATGTCTCTCTCTCTCTCTCTCTCTCCCCCTCTCAAAAATGAACAAGCCCACTTTAATTGGTAGTAACTTTGATTAGGATAATGTCATATTTATCGTGTGTGTGTGTGTTTGTGTGTGTTTTCCTTTTCTTTTTGAAACAGTCTCATTTCAGCATAGACTGGAACTTGTGATCTTCCTGTCTCAGTCTTTCAAGTCATGTGATTAGAAGTATAGCTGGGGACTGGAGAGTCAGCTCAGCTGTTGAGAGCACTGGCTGCTTTTGGAGAGGATCTGGGTTTGGTTCCCAGCACCAACGTGATGGCTAACTGTCCATAACTCCAGTTGCAGGGGATCTGGTGCCCCTCTTCTGACCTTCATGGATGGGTGCATTTACATACATATAGGCAATACATTCATACATATAAAATAAAATAATGCACGCCTTTAATCCCAGCACTCTGTGAGTTCAAGTTCAGCCTGGTCTATATAGTGAGTTCCAGGACAGCTGGGGCTACAGGGAGGCCCTGTCTCAAAAAGACATAGTGAGTTCCAGGAAAGCTGGGGCTACAGGGAGGCCCCATCTCAAAAAGACCAAAAAAAAAAAAAAAAAAAAAAATGGGAACCTTAAAAAAAAAAAAAAAAAAAAAAAAAAAAAAAAAAGTGTAGCTGCCTTTGTCCAATTGAGCAAAAGATTTCTTTCCCCCACTCTTGAGTCAAGTTACTGTTTGTGGGAGTTTTATCTTGAGATTTCAGTTTTCATTTTGGTGTTATATTTTGGAAATTAGTCCTGTTCTCTTGAGCTTTGGCTTGATACAGGTGAGTCCTTGGAACTCTTTAAGCACTACTGACTTTAATTCTGAAATATATTACTAAAACCAGAATTTCTTAGAAGAGTCCTGGAGTTTCAAAGTTAGGGGGAAGACACTTTTAACCCTAGCATGGAGGAGGCAGATGGAGGCAGATCTCTGTGAGACTGAGGCCAGCCTGATCTACACGGTGAGCTTCAGTCCAGCTGGGGGGCTACAGGTAGACCCTCCATCAAAAACAACAAAAAAGATATGGGGAGGGGCTGAAAAGATTGTTCGGCTGTTAAGAGTGCTTACTGCTTGATCAGAGGACTGGGGTTCAGATCTAACACTTACATCTGGTGGCTCACAAACGCCTGTAACTTCAGTTTCAAGAGATTAGACCCTTTTGCATGAAATTCTTGAATCAATAAAATTTCTCTCTAAAAAAAAGAAAAGGACCCCCCTCCCCTTTTCTGGCGTTGGTGCACTGATGCATGAGCATGCACATTTTTTTTTTTTAAAAAAATTTAGATAGGGTCTCACTGTGTATCCGTGGTTGATCTGGAACTTGCTATGGAGACCAGGCTTGCCTTGAACTCTCAGAGATCTGTCTACCTCTGCCTCCCAAGAGCGGGGATTAAAGGCATGTGCCACAATACCTGGCCCTAAAACATACACAAAAAAGAAGTTATGGGAAGATATTAAAATTAGAGGATATTAAAAATTTTTTTAAATTTGTTTTAATTTAAAAAAAATTTCTTTTTTATTGAATTTTTGTGTATTTCATACATAAAAATCATCTTTATACCCCCTTCCCCTTTTGCACCCTCCCATCCCCCCCCAGAAGTCCCTCAGTACAAGTTTATCCTCTGGGGTTTAGTCAGTCTATCTAGAGTCTCTCTTCAAGAATATCAGCTCTTCCTCACCTAGCAGTAATCAGCTACCAATAATTCTTCAACTAAGATTGGGGCTTGCTGTTCATTTCTACATTTTGGTGCTGAGTTTTTGTCTGCCTAAATTTGCATGGATCTTGTGCATGCTGACACCATTGCTGTAGGTTTGTATGAGAGGGGTCCCAGGCATCTGTAGAACCATTTCTGTGTGGTCATGCACCTCCTCCCTGGCTTTTACAATCTTTCCACTCTCCCTTCCGCAATGGTCCCTGAGCCCTGGGTGGGCGGACCTCAATATAGGAGTCCTGTCCAAGGATTATTATTTTAATTTTATGTGTATGAGTGTATTGCCTGCATATGTAAGTGCACTCGTGTCATGCAGTGCCCACAGAGGTCAGAGGATGGCATTGGATCCCCTGGAACTGAAGTTACAGATGGAGTTAGCCGTCATATAGGTGCGGGGATTCAAACCAGGCCTTCTGCAAGAATAACCAGTGTTCTTTTTAGAAATATATTTTATTATTTCTATTTTATATGTCTGAGTATATTGCCTGCATGTGTGTTTGTAAGTGCACCTGTGTCATGCAATGCCTGTGGAGGTCAGAAGAGAGTGACAGATCCCCTGGAACTGGAGTTATGGACAGTTGTTAGCCACCATGGGTGCTGGTAATTGAACCCTGGTCTTCTGCAAGAGTAGCCAGTGCTCTTAACCATTGAGCCATCTCTCCAGCCCCAGTGTCTTAACTGCTGAGCCATCTCTCTAGCCCCAGAAGATATTTTTATATCTAGAAAAGTCTTTCCTGTTTCTATCTCTTGTTTGATTTGATTGATTTTTTTTTTTTTTTTTTTTTTTTGAGACAAGGTCTCCCTGTAGCTCCAGCTGGCCTGGAACTCACTACGTAGACCAGA